TCCAGTTCAGGGAAAAGCTAGCCGACCTAATCAAGGGTTTATTGTCCGCCAAGATGATCAACTGTTCCAGATCACCATGGGCTTCCCCCATTGTGGTGATCATTAAGAAAAATGGGGTGGACATCAGGCTATGTATCGATTATCGGTTGGTTAATAGCCTGACACAACTGATGGTATACCCAATGCCCTTGATCAACGATCTACTCGAAGATCTGGAGTCGACACTTTGGTACTGTTCTTTGGATATGGCAAGTGGATTTTGGGTAGTGAAAATGACGGATCGTGCTCGTTTGATCTCGGCTTTCATCACCCCTTTCGGACTATTTGAGTGGAGTCGAATGCCTTTTGGCCTGAAGAATGCGCCCCAGATCTATCAACGTATGATCGATAACGCGCTGTACGGGTTCATCCGGATCCCTAAGTCGGAAGATCACGGAGGTACTGCAGATGTATTTGAGGAAGGGGAACCGGTGGAGCCAGGCAGGCCTTCAGTGCTTGGTCGCAGATCATATATCGATGACATCCTGATCCCCGCTAATAGTTGGGATCACCTATGTGATCGAGTCGAGGGGTTGCTCGAAGCATGCGACAAATGGAACCTGTCGATCAGCGTGGTTAAAAGTTTCTGGGGGATGTCCAAGGTGGAATATCTTGGACATAAGATCTCGCACAATGGACTGGAGGCGAATCCGAAAGATCTGTCTGCATTAACTGATCTAGCTTTTCCAGGATCACTCAGAGCCATGCAATCATTTCTGGGTAGTCTGAACTATTATAGTCGATTTATCGAAGACTACGCGATCTACGCGTCGGTTCTGTACGAATTGCGAGAAACCGACTTTGCTGCGATGACGAAAGAGGCTACCCAAGGGCAGATCCAACAAATACTGGGAGCAGAAGATGCAGATCCAAGATCACAGGAAGATCGGGACGTCGATCACCGAAGGACCCTGGATCCGGAGGCGCCTGATCCTATGGAGGTAGATCCACGTTGGATCCATGCTCATCGGGCCTTCAACGTGCTCAAGAGCAGGATTGCTACAACTCCGATCTTACGACACTTTGACCCGGATCGGAAAGCTACGGTGGTGGTGTACGCCAGCGACGGGGCTATCTCGGGAGCCCTGATGCAAGAATATGACCAGATCTACTACCCCGTGACGTTTGCGAGCCGTACTCTGAAGTCGAATGAGCTAAACTACGGTATCGCGGAGAAGGAAGTGCTAGCCCTTCTGAGGATCCTGGATCTGAATTACAATGCGTTGGTTGGGCGTCCGATCCATGTGTTAACCCGACACGTTGGCGTGGCTTTTCAGATCTACAGCCTTGCAAGGACGTTTAGGACAGTGGGCGGCTCTGCTGTCGCCCTGGACACTTGAGATCACCAAGTGTGTCAAAGGAGAG